CTAACACATAGATAAGGATCACAGGGAGGGGGGGCCCAAGTCATTGTTAACTCATGGAACAGAATCCCACAAAATATGTCAAAGGAGAGTTTTCCTGTTCTGTTGAGCACTCCCCATAGCATGTTGTGGGCCCATCCCATAATACAACTGGATCCACTACCCAAGCAAAACCAAACATCAAGAATGAATAGAAAGATCCCAATGTCACACTCAAAAATGAGAGCTCTTATCTCAGTCCATTTGCTGATAGCCCAACCTGCCCTGGTTGACTGGGTGGCATGGGGAGGGTGTTGGGAGGGTAAAGATGTGGGTGAAGAGGTCACTTTGGATAAAGGGAATATTTACAGGACAGAGTGGATGCTTATGGGGGAATTTGACATGAAAAGATGCCATGTGTTTAAAACATGATTTCCTTTAAAGTAGCTGAAAGCTGCTTTTAAAAGCACTTTTTATTTTCTCAAAGCCAATCCTCTTAAAGAGGAGTATCAAACAGCTACCCACCTGCTGAGGAAGCTCCAGTTAACACCTGGATTTTCCATGAGAAATTTCATTTCTGCCAATCCTCTTTAAAAGGCAAATTCTAATTAAAGCTGCTGCTGATCCCAACCACAGTCATTGGTCCCCACTAAAAGACGCACAGCAAGCTGGAACCATAAAGCTCTGTTTGATCTTTCCCCTTGCCTTTGGAACACCTATTAAATGTGCCAAGCTATAAATTAAGAAAGGTTTCTATATGCATCGCAACCCCCAAGCTAGACAAATACACACATACCCCCAGCTTCCTCACCCTCACTCCCAGGAAATTTGTGCATATTCCTGCTGGTCAACTCATAACTGCATCTGTCATCAACAGACCAAGGGTCAGACTGAGAGACAGACAGGCACATACAGAATAATAAACTGACAGCATCTCTCTCCAAACAACACACTCATAGCTGGTGTTGTGGGAGGGGTAGCCTCCCTTTCCATCCTGGCACAAAATCTAACAACATGTAAGGGTCACACAGGGACAAGCTTTTAACGGAGCTTTAAAGAGTTATGACCAATGAACCATTGTTCAGTCAGAGTATTGAGAAATGTGGAACCAATGCAAGTGAATAGAATTGAGCTCCAGATTGACTACAGCTGATTTTCTGGAAGAGGGGCTGAATGGCCTGTGTTCTTAAGCAATATCTCACTACTAGTGCATGGGTTGGATTTGAAAGATTATTCCTACCCCAAATGGCTGAGAGCTGAACCCTTCCATTAACTGGGCTACGGTTTATCACCTCGATGAGTATCAGCTGCTGGTTAGCCATGAAGGCCATCACAAACCAGGTGCATCAGAGAATTCTGCAGAAACTCAGCAGCTTTGTCAGTATCTGAGGAGAGAGAAACAGAGTGAATGTTTCAAATCAGTTCCAAAGAAGCGTCGCATTGGGTTCAAAACATTAACTCTGTTTCTCTCCAAAACGCTTCCAGACCATTTCAGATTTCCAGCACCTGCAGTTTTTTCCATTTACACTTGCTGAGGGAAGAGGCTGGGTGCATTTAGCACTGGCTGCTTCCGTGGTCCTAGTATGATCAGACTGAACCTCCAGTCTCACAGTATGTGAATCAACCGCAGTTAGAAGGTATGTGTGTACCTGCCTGCCTGACAATCTGACAGATTGTACCTCTGTGTCTGCCTGACAACCTAAGAGATTTATCTCTGTGTCCACCTGACAATGTATTTGCGCATGTGTATGCCTGACAATCTGTGAGACTGTACCTGTCTGCTTGCCTGACAATCTGTATGTTTGTGTGCATGTCCATTTGTGTTTGCTTGACAATCAGTGTTTGTGCATGTGTTTGCCTGTGTGTCTGCCAATCTGTCTATGATAGTGCGTATGCCTCTCTGTGTCTGCATGATAATATCTACTTGTGTATGCCTGTCCTCCCCGACCTCTTGTCCCCTCATCCTCTTGCTTCTCCACCCTCACCTTCTTGCTTTCCAACCTCATCCTCTCCCTGCCCCTTCTCTGCCTCCATCTCTCTCACCCTCTCCATTCCTTTCCCTCCAGCCCTGAGGTGACTGGGGAGCAGGGACACAGGCTGATTTCCCTGTTAACACAAAATCATGGGTCCAATGAGGGAGCTGCCACTGAGATCAGTTTAACTCAATAACAGCCAGGGATCAAGCATTTTCCAGAGTCTGCTTTGATGTTATTTATGGGCAGCCTGTTCACACACCCATTAATGTGACCTGTCAGTGGAAACTTGCACATTAGCAGTTCTGCAATGGAGTGGAAAAGTTAACTTATTCTTACGCTGTTGGGTATCTATATAATCACAGGGGGATTAAAAAAAAAACCTGCCTTAAAAGGACATCACAGCTCTGCGTATACATCACAGACTAAATCCAATGGCCAAGGTCCTCAAATCGGGGCACCTTTAGATCACAAAGCAAGCACTTGATCTGGCTTTAGTGACCCAGGATGCCAGATAAGTACAGCAGCAGAATTGTAGTGAAACAGTGAAGGCATGTGGGGCAAATTCTTAATAAAAAGAAGCCCCATTGTCAGCTTTCAAAAGAGTCTTATTCTGAGGTAGAAAATTTATAAAGTAATAGTTAAACTGTACAATGTTAGCTAATGACAAGTGTCTTAAAGACACTACCCCAGGGCAGGGAGGGAAGGGGTAACAAGGGGGAAAGGTGGGGAAGGTATAATTTTTCAGGGACAGATGTGAAGTGCGATTCAATTGATAAATGCTGACTGAATGAACCAGATCTTGACACCAGGATCTTGAGATTTACGAGGTGGTAATGAAGACAGGAGGGTGAAGACAGACATGTGTTTTAATAGGTGGAATATTTTCCCCCAGGAATAAGCAAATTGAGCTGATTCCAATACAATGAATATACACACCATGCATGTGCACTTAGAATCAACTTTTTGGGTTTACAGGAGGTTCATAAAGACCAGTTTTTTGGGGGGGCTGGTAGGAGAGAGGGTTGGCAGACGGAGAAGAACAGGAGAAGTTGGGATCCTTAAAGCAGTAAAGATAAAGAGGAAATTTCACAAGGGTGTTCAAAATGATAGAAGTTTGGCAGGATAAATAAGGGAGAGTCTGTTTCCATCTGTCAGTAACCAGAGGAGATGATTTTTTTCAAATGGTGAAAATACCAAAAGGGAGAATTTTGTAAGAATTCAGTGTGCTATGATTCAGAATGTATTGCCTGAAAGGGCAGTTGAAACTGATTCAATAGAGAGTCTTAAATCGGAATTTGATGTACGCTGAGGAAGGAACGTTTCACAGAGCTGCTTTGGGGACATGCAGTGTGACTCATTGGATCACCTCTTTCATAGAGTTAGCATAGGCACAATGGAGTGCATGGCCTCTTAATGCTGTATAACCTCAGGAACACTTCTTTTAAATCTCCCCTTAGCCTCTCTACTCTCAACCTCACCAGTCTCTCCACATAACCCTCATCCTCAGCAACATTCAAGCAAATCTCTTTTACAGCCTGTTCCTAAACAGGAGCCCCCAGAACTGGTCATGGTTCTCTATTTGAAACCAACTGTGATTTCCAACAGCTGAGCATAACTTGCTTGCTTTTGTCCTCTCTCTTTCTCTGTCTTTCTCCTTATAAAATCACAGATCCTGCAATCTTTTCAACAACATTTTCAACTTAGCCTGCCAATCACCTCAGAGTCTATGGTTCAAAACCAAGACAATTTGAAGGAAAGCACCACACTGACCCCAAGCAGCAGCTCAGCATAGACCAGCAAGTCCCAGTCACTGAATGGTGAACACTCTGGTTACTAAGCAATTAGTGGGAGTGAGTTCTGAAGAAGGGTCAGTGGACCCGAAACATTGAGTCTGATTTATTTTCCACATCGCTGCCAGACCTACCAAGTTTCAACAATTTCTGATTTGTTATGGAGAGACAGAGGGCTGGTTTGTCAAACACAGGGGAAGGGAGGGCAGGGGTTAATGCGGGCAGAGAATGTATATTTCTTAATAAACCTGTATGAACCCAACGTCACAGACTTATATACCAAGCAGTATAGTGATGCATGAAGACACATGACAGCAAGGGATAGGCAATGATTCTGTAAGGGTCAGAAACAGTGAAGGGTGTGCACACACACAGGAACAGTAACACTGAGAACCTCAGAGTGGATCCAGGCAGCAAAGTTTCTTTCAGTACCACTGAGTGACACCAGCTACACCAGCACTGTGTAAGACAGATCAACTCATCCTTCCAAATAACATTTCCAACAGCTGTGTGCAAATCAGCACCGAGGATTTTGTTTCATTGCCGATAAGTTTGATCCTTATCCTGTGATTGAGGAATGGGTTGGGGGGCAATGTAGACAAGAACTGGTAAGAGGTTTATAAGGCGAGGATTGGGAGATAGCCCAGACATGGCGGTGGGAGAACATTCCTAGATCGACAGAGGGAGCAGACACCAGATCCCCGGAGGATGAGATTCCAGGACTTGATTAGGGAGGAACCCCTAATCAACAGTGGCAGAGGATCACAGATCCCTGAGAGTGAGGATCCCAAAGACCTCAGGCACCCCAGGGGAAAGGATTCCAAAGCCAGAAGAAGAAGCTACCAGGACTTAACTGGGGGGTGAGATTCCAGATACCAGGTTGGATGGAGAAAATATTAGATCCCTGATGATTCCACACCACAGTGTGGGAAGATCCCAGGGAACCCAGATCCTCAGAAAAACAGATCCAGGATCCCCTGTAGGGGCAAGTGGTTCAAAGATGGGGGGGGGGGGGGTGGTGTTGGATCCTAGATCACTGGGAGGTCTCAGATCCCACATGAAAAGATCTCAGGTCCCCCAGTGGGAGTGATCCCAGTCACTGGAGGAGATCTCAGTTTCTGGGACAGGTTTCTTGCTGTCCAAGAGATCTCATTGAACGAAGGGATGGGGGTGGAATCGCAGACACACGGGGAAACCTGAGAGATACAGGTGATCCAAATCCCGCTCGCCTCCTGATCCCGGTACAATTCCTACTCACCGGCTTTGCAGGGATCCTTGTACTCGATCTGATCCAGAGTGACGATCTCCGCAGTTGATCCCAATCCCGGAGAAAACATGAGCAGCAGCGAGACAGCGGAGAACAAGCGGAGTACAACCATTGCAAACCCGCGGGACAGAGAGTGAGCTGATCCCCGGGCGGGGGAGACAGAAAGTGACCGGATCGGGGTGGGGCGGGGGGCAGAGTGAGCGGATCCCGGCGGGGGGTCAGAGAGTGAGCGGATCCCGGGGGTCACAGAGTGACCGGATCCCGGGGGGATGTGCGGGACAGAGAGTGAACGGATCCCGGGGCTCGGAGCCGCTTTCCCGGGAATCTCCCGGTCAATGAGCCGGCTCCACTTCACCGCCTCGTGTCAATCACAGAGAGATCCACCAACCAGCAGCCGACCAGATCCCGGGGTAGATCCTGGAAATGAAGCTGACGATCCAGAGGGAGGGAGGGAGAGACTCCAGGCCCGTCCCCCAGAGTCCGGGGCTCGGCTCCTGCCCCCGGGGGGGGTCTGCTCGGTGTCTGAGTCCCGGAGCCGGGAGCCTGGAGCTGGGCAGCGTAAGGAACCAGCCACGGTTCCCCAAACAAATACAGGCAGGGTTTCTGAGGAAGGGGCAACCGGACCCCAAACATTAAATCTCTACTTTCTCCCCACAGATACTGCCAGAGTTCATCCAGCAGTTTGTGTTTTTGTTTCTGAGTTCCAGCTTCCGCAGTCCTTTCGGTTTTTAAATACAAACAGAGACCGCGCTGTGGCTGGGATTGGTCACAACAGCGTGGAAACATTTCACGGTTTCATTCCCCATTGACAGTGACAGAGCGGCCAGGTTCCAGCACGACTTGGTGTGTTCACTGTACCCCGAGCGCTCCCCACTTCCCACTGTGAACCGAGCGGCAGTGAGATACAGGAATAGGCAGCTTATGGCACTGGGCACAGAGTGTAGTATGGAAAAGCAAAATACTACAGTGCTGGAAATCTGAGACAAAAACATACAGTGTTGGAGAAACTCAGCAGCTCCTCCTCAGTTCTGAGGAGTAAGGCAATACTTATACAGTTAATGGTAGGGTCATGGGGAGTGTTGTTGAACAGAGACCCAAGGGTGCAGTTACATAGTTCCTTGAAAGTGTACTGGCAGTTGGCAATCTACGCTTGCCTTCAATGCTCGGAGTATTGAGTACAGCAGTTGGAATGTCATGTCAAGGCTGTACAAGACATTAGTGAGGGCACTTTTGGAGTACTGTGTCTACTTATGGGAAGGATATTATTAAATTGGAAAGGTGCAGAAAATATTTACACGGGACTGTTAACGGGACTGAAGGGTTTGAGTTATAAGGAGAGGCTGGTTAGGCTGGGACTCTTTTCCCTGGATTGTAGGAAGCTAAAGGGTGATCCTACAGAGGTTTTATAAAATCATGACAGGCCTGGATAAGGTAAATATCAAGGTCTTTTCCCTAGCACAAGACAGTTCAAAAATAGAGGGCAGAGGTCAAAGGTGAAAAAGGAAAGATTTAAAAGGCAACCTGGGGGCAACTTTTTCACACAGAGGGTGGTGCATTAAGGGAATGAACTGCCAGAGGAGGTGGTTGATGTAGGTGCAGTTACAACATTTAAAAGATATTTGAACAGGTACATGAATAGGATAGATTTAGAGGAATATGGCCAAACGCAAGCAAATGGGACAAGTTCATGTTTCCGTGCTGTATGATTCTATGACCAGACACAAAACATTAATTATATATCTCTCCACAGACGGTGCCATATGTGTTGAGTTTTTCCAAGATTGTTTTTATTTATCAGAAAGGTGGGCTGACATTCATGAAGGATTGTAATGTACCTATAGACTGGAAATACCAGATGGGCGCAGGTAGCCCAGACCAGAAGTCTGGGATGTTTTCAGGATCTTTCTTACTTCAACACATTTTGGAGCCAACCAGACAGCAGACTAGACTAGACCTAGTACTGTATAATAAGACAGGAATAATTAATTAATGACCTTATGGAGAAGGGACCCCTAGGTGGTAGTGACCACATAAAGATTGAATTTTACATTTAAAGAGAGACGAATGGGATCAAGACTGGTATTTTGACCCAGCAGATGAAATGAACAGCTATTTTGCATCAGTCTTTATGATACAGGATATAGGTATCATCCTAGAGAAAGTTATAAATCAGGAAATGGAATTGAGGGAGGTACTCCAGCAAATTACAATCACCAAGGACGTACAAATTATTGGAGCTGTGGCCTGACCAATCCTGGGCTCCTGATGGACTTCATCCAAAGGTCTTAAAAGAAATAGCTAATGAGACAGTTGATGCCTTGAATTTACCTTTCCAAAATTACCAAGAGGTAAGTAAAATAAAATAGAAGAGGGAAAAAAAGAGGAGAGAGAAAAAAAAACAACAAAAGAAAAGCAAATGGAGTGGATGAATCCTGGACTTAGAAACCTTACTCCACTGCCATCTTACCAGAAGTAAAATGTTTCCTCTTTTGTCTTTAGGAGAAGGGAATACAAAAGGAGGGAGGTTATGCTTCAGTTATACAGGGCATCAGTTAGACCGCGTCTCAAATATTGTGTACTGTATCGATTGCTTTATTTCAGGAGGGATGTAACTGTGCTTGGGAGGTTTACTAGGCTATACCTGAAATATATGATTGACTTATGATGAAAGGTTGGATAGACTACGGTTGCATCCACTGGAGTTTGGAAGAATAAGAGTAACATATACGATCCTCAGGAGTCTTGACGGGGCACTGGTGAAAAGGATGTTTCTTCTTCAGGGACGATTTAAAATTAGAGGTCACTGTGTAAATACAAGTGGCTGGTAATTTAAGACAGAAGTCAAAGACAAAAAATCAAAAACAAAAGGAGAATTTTTTTCTCACAGAGGGTTGTGAGTCTTTGAAACTCTCTTCCTCAATACTTGGTGGAGGCAGAGTTGTTGAATATTTTTAAGGCAGATGTTGATTCTTGGCAAGCGAGGGGCTGAAAGAACCATGGAGTAATCAGATTAACTGTGACCTTATTAAAATGGTGGTACTGGCTAAAGCAGCTAACTTGTCTATTCGAGCTCCTAAATTGTACATTCATGTAACAGTCTCATTCCTTTCTGAATGTTGTAATTGAACTTTCTTCCATCATGCTCTCAGGCAGTGCATCCCAGACCTGCTGGAAAACCTTTCCTCATGTCACTTTAGCTGAGTTCTAACTAGTGTCATGACATGACATTCATCAGCATTCCCATCACTGAATCTCCTGCTATCAAAATTTTGGGGTTAGAACTGACCAGAAACTGTATTGGACCATTCATGTAAACACAGTGGCTACAAGAGCAGGTCAGAGGCTAGAAATCCTACAGCAAGTGACTCACCTCCTGACTCCCCAAAGCCTGTCCACCATCTACAAAGCATAATTCAGGAGTGTGATGGAACACTCCCCACTTGCCTGTATGGGTTCAGCTCCAACAACCTCAAGAATCTAGGCAGCCCGCTTGATTGGCACCACATCCACAAACATCCACTCCCTCCACCACTGACCCTTAATAGCAGCAGTGTGTACTATCTATAAGAAGTACTGGAGAAATTCACCAAAGATTCTCAGACAGCACCTTCCAAACTCACAATCACTTCCATCTAGATGGACAAGGGCAGCAGATACAAGGGAATACCACCCCCTGCAAATTCCCCTCCAGGCCATGTACCATCCTTACACGGCAAAGATCGCTGTTCTTTCACTGTTGTTGGGTCAAAATCCTCAAATTCCCTCCCTAAGAGCACTGTGGATCAACCTACAGCACATGGACTGTAACGATTCAAGAAGGCAGCTCACCACCACCTTCTCTAGAGGACTAGGGATGGGCAAGAAATACTGGCCCAGCCGGCAAAGCCCATATCCTGTGAATGAATCAAAACACAAAAAGTAATTTCTTGCAGTTGGATACTATCCTCCTGAACCCATTGTGGTTACAGAGTGATCATCTGGAGCATGTATTCTAGAGGATTGTCAGCCTGCTGCCTGTTGTTCTGTGCCTCCAGCCTCTGCTCCAGCATAGGAAACATGCAATACATCAATCTCTAGATAGTCCATCATTCTGCTCAACAATAAACCTTTGAACCTAATTCATTCATAATAATTATTTGTAATCAACATGCCCAGACATCTCATCGTACACCTGCAGGGCAGGTGAGAATTGAAACTGGACCCTCTGGCCTAAAGGTAGTGACGCTACCACTGCGTCACAAGTGGTGTTTTCCCCCTCAACACCTTAAACAATTATTAACACATTTATTGTTGTTCCTTGGTTAAAAGCAAATCTTTCTCCTCAGCACCTTGACTAAGTTTTTCAATGGCACTCACCCCATTCCCTTTAATAGACACTGTCACACAACTCTGTATTAAGCAGATATTCTTTGATATGTACTTTTACAAACATTCTAAACTCTTCCTTTCCCATTGCCCTACAAATTTCTCCTTTTCATGTATTTGAAACTACAAAGTAAAAACAGGCTTTCAACTTTTTGTATGTGATGGTTCTAATAACCTTAAAAGGCACTTGGTCATTAATTTGACTTCAACAGCAAACAATAAATAGAATAGGAAGCAACAGAATGGCATTTTACACCAAAAACGAAAAACACAATTTCAACCTGCCTTGAAATTTCCTTTTTTTTTGCAAATTAGTTATGTACACAACCAGAAATCTCAAAAATTCAAGAAGTCATGACCACAAAATCAAACTGGAAACAGTGGTCAATCCAATTAACATTCAATATTCAAATTTAGATATTGGTTATTGTAAACCATGATCAGATTTATGTGTGGTGTTTGACTCGTGGAGATATATTGCTGGATTTAGGGTTGTTGGATTGAATAATTGGCTAAATTAACCAATTATTTCAGTGGGAAACAGCAGCAACTCTCAGTTGTGAAGATTCAAGGGCACTGGAATTTTATTTTGGATAATAAAGGTGTGCAGGCATATGGGGAAAAGGCAGGAGATTACGTAATAGAACTGGACTGGGTAATTGAGCCAGTACAGACATGATGGGCCAAATGGCCTCCTTCTGCATTGTAATAATTGTGATTCATACTGTGCAGTCTGTAGTCTCAGGCCCAAGACCTGAATTGGGACAGGTTCAGTTAACAAAGGCTCAATGAGGAGCCAGGAATCTGAATCCCAAAAAGTTCTCAGCTCATAGTGGGCCAGGATCCAGCCAGGAGTTTAAAATCCCTACCAAGACGTGGCCATTGAGCTTGTGGAACCAATCCCAAGACTGCTGGTGTCAACCAATACAACCTACTCAGAAACCTGTGCTGGTATTATCTACAGCTGAACTCCTCCATTTCAATACAGGCCAGGATGTGCCATCTCCATCTCCATCTCTCCAGCCTGG